TGACATTAATGTCATTCACTAACTTCTGTTCAACGAAAAGGAGAATGAGAGCAGAGAATCGTGGCTGGGTCATTGTAGAACGAAGTTTAGACTTGACAATGCTCATTTTAGAGAATGTTCGTTCAGCAGATGCAGAAGTAACAGGAATTGTGGCCAGTCCTGTGAAGACGCGTGAGAGGCAAAGACAATTTTTTGTTTTGTTTTGTTTGCCAATCAACAGGGGGGGCCATGGCCCCCTTGTGCCCCCCCTTAGCTACGCCAGTGCGTGTATGTATGTGTTTGTCACAGTTTTGTGTGACTGTAAAAACGCGTATTTCATATTTTGAACGCGTATTCAAACGCCGTATACTCATATTTTGTGCTTTGGGGGTGAAAAAGTTGAGGCTGAAAACCAGCCATTTGCCTGGCTAACTTTTCACCGTGCCAACCAGGTCGTAGGCGATACCATTTGGGAGAAGGGGATTACTTATTCCCGAGAGAATATAACCTGATAGGATATAGATTAAAGTACCATAATATGAATAGATAAACATGTCACATATCAGATACAGATAGATAGAAATAGATAGAATATCAGATATTGAATGAAAAGATATTATTGCTATTTTATTGGTTTTTCATGATGGTTGATTCTATATGGTACATTATTACTGCTAGGTACTCAGTACTAGTAACAGTACTAGTAACAGTACTCAGTAACAGTACTAGTAACAGTACTCAGTAACAGTACTAGTAACAGTACCCAGTAACAGTACTCAGTACATGGTTCCCACAAGTGTGAATTATTTTTTCAAAAACTTTTCAAGAACATTTTTAAAATTTATTTTAATTGTTAGTTTTAGCATTTTAGAGTCATCATATATACCTTAGATTACTATATAAAGTAAATATAGTTGTTTTACACCCTAATTCAATGAGAGCAATCCTTTCTCTATAAATTTCATGCTAATAGTACTTGTTGAGCTGGTGAAATTAAAGATCTTCTTCAGCCTCAAATCCATGGAAGAAACAATTAAGGGCCATATTCCCCTTGTCCCAAATCTTTACAAATAATAACAAATAAATAATGTTAAATTTAATCCCCAAAATTAATTCACAGAACAGTATTTGCTAAAACTAGTTTGTTCTCCCTCTTTTTAGTCATGGGTGGCATGGGCAGACATGGGCAGGGATCTTAACTATATGCTGACTATTATAATGATTTTTTATTTATTACTCAGTGTGTATTTCCCTACACACAAATTACAAACATATTGACACAATTGTGTAGCAAAATATGAACGTAATGAGCAATAAATAAATATTAAAATGATGAACTTGTAGTCTAGACCTCTACAGTTAAGTTACACCACCTGCACATAAAAATTAGGGACAAAACAAACTACTTTGTTAGACAATGACATGTGAATTTTGGATTGAATTTAACATTTTTATCGAAGACTTGGAATAGCAGATAACCAGCAATAAAGATTTGCTTTTTATTTTAGGTCAAAAATGTAAAATTCCAGGAAATTAGACATAATATAAGGACTTGACCCTGGACTTCGAATTTCCAAGGACTTTCAAGGACAAAGGACAAAATTCAAGGACTTTCAAGGGCTGTGGGGAGGAACCCTGTTCAAATTAACTAAAATCAAAAAAGTTACGAGTGTAGAAGTATTTACATCGTTATCACGTAATCATACTTTATTCACGCAATACTATGTACATAGTGTTCCCACGTTGTGAATATTAAATAATAAATGGCCCCTAAATACTACGTACTCGGCACACGTTACTGACATGTTAGAAACGATACAATAATCTACAGGCTACGAGGTGAGGTCCCCATGGCAACAGAATTACGAGGTGGGGGGTGCACAAACCTTTGCACATATGACCTGTGATATCATGAGCAGACTTGAAGCTCCCCATTGCTCACGTGACGACAGACACACTTCACACAAAAATTAACAGAAGCATCCACATACAAACACACACAAGTCTACAATGGAGGATGCTATTGGACAGGTCCCCCCCCCCCGAGTTGCACAAACACAACCTACTGAAAACCCCAACGATAATACTGACCACTGGTCAAGAAGCAACGTACAGCCTACACGCGAAATACGACTGCGTTCGCTTCATTCTGGGAAGACCGTGGTGGTGGTAGCGGCAGGAGAAGGTAGCTCCACTGGCAGACCTGGCCTGCTGCCTAGGAAGCACTGCCTAGCATGCCTAGGATGCATTGCCTAGCATGCCTAGGAGGCATTGCCTAGCATGCCTAGGATGCATTGCCTAGCATGCCTAGGAGGCATTGCCTAGCATGCCTAGGAGCATTGCCTAGCATGCCTAGGAGGCATTGCCTAGCATGCCTAGGAGGCATTGCCTAGCACACCTAGGAGGCATTGCCTAGCACACCTAGGAGGCATTGCCTAGCACACCTAGGAGGCATTGCCTAGCACGCCTAGGAGTACTGCCTAGCACACCTAGGAGGCATTGCCTAGCATGCCTAGGATGCATTGCCTAGCACACCTAGGAGGCATTGCCTAGCATGCCAAAGATGCATTGCCTAGCACACCTAGGAAGCATTGCCTAGCACACCTAGGAGGCATTGCCTAGCACGCCTAGGAGGCATTGCCTAGCATGCCTAGGAGGCATTGTCTAGCACACATAGGAGGCATTGCCTAGCATGCCTAGGAGGCATTGGCTAGCACACCTAGGAGGCATTGCCTAGCATGCCTAGGATGCATTGCCTAGCACACCTAGGAGGCATTGCCTAGCACACCTAGGAGGCACTGCCTAGCACACCTACGAGGCATTGCCTAGCATGCCTAGGAGGCACTGCCTAGCATGCGTAACATCGACTCTCTGTCCTTCAGCGCCTTCCACACAAGATCTCGCTCCTTCTTCGTCGGTACCTTCTTCTTCTGCCGCGTCACGCTGATCCTCCTGTAGGCTTCCATCACCTGCAACGACGGAGAGAGAGAGCGTGCGGTTGGTGATCATGGAAGCCGCTTGTCAGCGCGCGCGTGCGTCGCGAGTGCTCACGCGCCCCGCAAAGTGTTTACGCATCCCGCACTCACGTACGCTGCACGCGTTTGCTAACGTACGTATCGTGGACATACGCTGGCGTAGTCCTATTTTGGGCCCCACCCTCATTTTTGCAAATTTGGGGGGCAAACTAGGATTGAGCGCATAAGCTTGTTTATTACATCCTTAATACATATGTTTACGTTTGCATTCACACTTGTTTGCGTATCCGCACCACGACTTTTACAACCGCGTTACATTCGCTTACGTCCACGCGGCGACGTTTGTTTACATATGCATTGTTATTTGTTTACATTTGCACCGTATTTATTTACATCTGCATCGTATTTGTTTACGTACCCCTTCAGATTTATTTACATCTGCATCGTATTTGTTTACGTACCCCTTCAGATTTATTTACATCTGCATCGTATTTGTTTACCTCCCCTGTCTTGGTCTGTTCACGTCCGCACGGTATTTTAACGAAGAAATCAGCAACCCACGCATTTGCGCACATCCGGTCAAAACCATCGCTAATCCACGCTAGCGAGGTTATTATAGGATCGACATTGATTCACTGACACGCCACGAGGTGATAACGCACGGTCTTTCATTTGGATTTTAACATTATATATATATATCATTATATTATATATATCTATATTCCCATTATATATATATATATCATCAATATATATCATAACTGACCGGATATATCATATTGCTGACGCGCGGCGAGGGGAGCGATGCCAGAGGGCGCCGGGGAGACAACAGACGGGCGTACGTACCTCCATGTCGGCTATCTGCATCTTCTTGCGCATCTCCTGCTTGCCCATCTCATCCTTGGCGAGCTTGTAGAGTCGCTTCTTCTGCGTGAGGTTGTGAGCGGTGAGTGCCTTCAGCTCCGACTGCCGCTTACGCAGCTCCTGCCCGCCGAAAAACAAGTGAACGTCAGACCCTGCCCGCACGCCCCCGCTGCGTAACGCCACCTGGTGGGAATTCTCGATTGACACGGTAGCGATTTTCGTCTTGAATATCTCGGATTTGAAT